ATACACACACATATATACATACCTTAGCAAGTTTAGATTTTAGTTTTGTACATACAGTTGATTTACATTGATGTGGGGATCTTTTCTTAAAAATTAGTTTTATTATTGCGGAATAATTGATATTTTTGAATGAAAATTTTGAATGTTTCATATCAGCCAGTTATTCAGCTATTTATAAATTTATACTTTTTGTATATTATTGAATAAAATTAATATTTGTATTTTTTCAGATGTTTTTGTTTCTTATGGGATAATGAAATTTGTAGTTTTAGTTGAATATTTTTGAGAGGATAGTTCTCCCCAGACATCGTTGAACCGGATATGTCATAAGATGTCCATTCTAGTGAATTGTATTTTTCAAACTACAACCAGGTGACAAAATAGAAATATTTTAAATTTTGCATTAAACTCGTGCTATTGTAATTTCTCAGTTGTGGATTTGTTCGCCATATTTAATGGTCTACAACCCGTCACACCGTTATACTCTCTTGTTTAAATAACCAAATAAGTGTTTTTAGTAAATTCACCAAGAAAAATATTTTCAGCGTGATATTTAATTAAGATCTTCTCTCAAATATCTGGATATGCGTTTGAACTTTTCTCAAGTTAAAGGTGATGTAAACCTGGAGAATCCTGGTCCAGATATATTGCGGATAGATTATGTTACTAAAATTGAAATTAAACAGTTAATTCGTCAGAGCTGCGTAATAAAAAAATGAAAAAATAAAAATTATTTTAAAACTTTTATTAATCATTAACGAAAATATAGCTTCAATCGTACACACATAATTATAACATTTTATTTATTAAGGCGCTATAAAATTTTTTATGCGATAAAAATTTTATATGGTTATCTTTTGCTATTCGATGTCATTTTTCTTAATATAATAATGGCGATTTTTTGAATTTGTTTAAATGAAAAATTCCTAAAAAAACGCAATATAAATGCCTGTAAAATCTTCAATTGTAAACATTTAAATCAACAAATTATAAAAATGGTTGTTTTAGAACCAGTAAAGGTAATTTTGTTAAATTTCGAAATCTTATTAATTTGTACACAAAATCAACTTTACTAATTTCTAAGTTGTGTCTCAAATTTTAAGATTTTTTTCATTTCAGGCCGCCATTGTACAGTGTCTCAACCTTTACAATTATGCCGATGCTGCTTTTCTATCAGAAAGACTTTATGCCGAAGGTTAAATGAAATTTTTATTTATTAAAATGTCTAAGAAAAAACTAAACTAAGCAATGTATAATAAATAAAATTTAGTTAGTAAATGAAATAAAATTGATATTGAAAAAGTACATATTAGGATTGTTTAATTAAAAAATTCAATTTCAATTCAATTTTTAAATAACCTGGTTCAGTTTACTTATCATTAAGGATTACCCAAACGTCATGAGAATGATTATTAAATTAAAAATAGCAGATATTAAGATTTATTTGTAGTATATTATTCAGTGGTTGAGTAGAGATTAATTTCTTAATTTATCAAATACTGATTTATTCATTTAATTTTTTTCAGTGGCCAATGCTGAAGCCTTATATTTGTTAGGATCCTGTTATTATCATATGAAGAAGCCATGGAAAGTTTACATGTTATTATCAAGTCATAGATCCAAGTCCCCAGACTGTCGATATCTCTTTGCCAAAAGTTGTTTTGATCTTGAAAAGTCTGTATAATTATAATTTATTGTATTTAAATTAATTATTTTTATATTTTTTTTTTCATATTTGTTATGAATTCCCTTTTAAAAAACTATTTTATAACATTTTTTAGGTTTTTTTTAATTAAAATTAGGAAATGTTTATTTTAATTATTTACAGATATAGTGAAGCAGAACTTGCGATATTAGAAACAAATTTTGATTTTGGAACGAGGAATTTAGACATGGTCATTACAGATTTTGGAGAGAATGCCAGTTTTGCTCTCAGCTTGTTAGGACATATTTATCAGTTAGTATTAATTACAGTTTTTGTTTATGAAACATATCTGAATCATTTTCAAGGTCATCTTTTTAACAGGCACTATTAAATAACAATTTTTTATTTTTGGTAAATAATTTGGAAATACTTTTTACTAGAATTTTGAAAATATTTAAATTTTTAATAACAAGTTGGTATTTCTATATGCAGATTTGTCAGTTCTTGAAATCTTTTCGTTGATCCTTAATTTGTTCTCTGAGTAAACTGTGAATTCAATATTTTAATTGATAGTAAAATACAAGTTGGAATAATTAAAATATTGAAATTAATTAAAATCAAATAATATTTATTTGCCCTTCAAGTAAAACTGAAAGGAAATCTCAAGCCATTGAATGTTTTCAGGCCAGTTTGAAACTCAATCCATTTCTCTGGTCGTCTTTTGAAATGCTCTGTGAATTAGGTTCGTGTATTTGATGAAACTGTGTGTGTGCTGAAAGATGTGTGCTTCTTGCTTATTTTTTTGGAATATGTACCACTGTTTAAATTGCATAGGTTGTCTTTGTGTGTGTGTCTATGTGTGCATGTGTTGTGTGTGTGTTTGTTTAGGGTTAGTAATATGCATAGGTTCTTGTTTATATGAGCATTTTTGTCCCAAGTGTTGTCTAATGAAAAAATGAAAGAGCTTTTTAAAATTTGTTCTACAAATCAATTTATTAATTTAACGGTGATTTAATCAATGTGTCATTACTTTTTTTTGTATGCAGGAGACTTAACAGATCCGAAGCAAATTTTCAAAGTGACCAGCCAGAACTTTGCATCCATGTGCAATTCGACCTCTCACAACCTCTCCAATGCTTCACTCACCGATCACATGACATCTCTGACACAATTTTCTGCCATTAAATTAGTCAGCATTCTTACCATTTTTTATTTCTTTGGTAATTTTAACAGAGCAAATTAGTCTTTTAACTATTCTATGAAAATTTTCAAATACTAAGTTTATTGTAAACAGTGAAAAAAATGTTATCTACATTGATATATCCAAGCACTGTAGACTAATCTAAAGTTTTCAATACACAACAAAGCAGTAACACAATACAACAAAATATATTAAAACAGGAAGACACGTTCTCAACTTCTCAAAAAGACATCTTCAGCCACACAAACATAGCCACTCCTGACAACACACAGAGTAACATAACACCAGATCCTGACTACTCCCTACTTGCTCTTCCCAGTGCTCCCAGAGCCAAAAGAGGGAGCCTCTACATTCATCATAAAGATGTCAGCACCAATTTGGTTGGAATGTCACCCCTCACACCTAGGTTAGTTTTGTGTCATTTTCTCTTTAGTACTTTTCATGTGTGGATGACTGATGTCTGCCTGTTTGTTTGCTTCATCTGTTTGATAGATTCTGATGTTATATTTGTTATAATATGTAATGATGTACATGTTGCACGTATTTTAATTTGAAAAGTTTTGGCATCATGCCCCTTGATCTAACACCCATTCCACTGAGCCAGAACCTCAACACCGTCCTCGCCTCCATGGCTTCTCCACTCCCCATCTCACTAAAAGTTTGTTTTTGCCTGTTCTATTTAGATTTCTGTAATTAGTTTTATTTTAAATGGTATAGTCGGGATAAAGAGTATGCTTCATGAGATGCAATAACAGTCTGCCAGTATATTTTTTTCGCTACTTCATACTGTTTCAAGTTCCTGCTGTTTCATTGGTCTGCAGGGTGTTATTTTTTAGCTTATATTTTTGCCTTACAAGAGACATTCATAGAAGTTACTTACCTTATAGAGCACTTCAGTTACTGCTCTGGTGATATTTTAATGATGATCTCTTCATATTAATTAATATTTTTCTTCTTACACCATTCCTGTTCAGAGTTCAGGTCCAAAAAGTTCAACAACTGCTGCGCCGCTGGTGTCAATGCATGGAGCCATCAAACCGCCTGTCTTCAGTCAGTCAGGTAACACCAATCTTCCTAAAGATGTCACTTCAAATACTGCACTGCTGGGGTTGGTTGAACCTTTTTTAAATTAGGTTTGAAACCAAAATATATAATAGAACGAATTTTTTTGCACTGTCTGGTTCCAGTTTATTTTTACTGTAAACATTTATATAGTATGCAATGAGTTTTTGAAATGAGTTGCCTCAAAGTGTTTGTATGATAGCAAGAAATATTGTATTAATAGAGTGTGGTTCAATTCATTAGATTATGTTAGCAAAAAGATATTTACACGAATAGCGATACTAAAGTTGATTTAATTTAGAATCTGGTTGGCCAGATGAAGATGTAGAAATTATTATTTTGACCGCCAGATGTCCCAGCCATACCATAGGTTTGAGGAGGAGTTCAAGATTGTTCAACCACACAAGCAGTTCTGTCAAGGTTAGTTGACAGCTAGCTGTCTTTATGTGGAATTGTTTTACGTTGTTGTTGTTGTTGTGTGCAGATAATTTAGCTTATAAATTAATGAAAATGTAAATTAATGAAGATGAGTTGATCAGTATATAAGCATACATTATTTATTTTCCAGGAGAACAATAAAAACCAGGCCTCTATAGAAAATCGATCGTCGACGAATCGTGCTGGCATTGGAGGTAAGAGAACAAAATCAAAACTAACCTGGACACCTCAGCAGATGAACGAACGCAACAGGATTGAGTCTGGTTTGATTCAGAGCAGTACAGGCAATGGCAAGTCATCATCTGCAACAACACTCTCAACAACTGTATGCACTGCAACGAATGCAGCCCAACAGCAACATGTTGCCGAGATGCAGCGACAATCTGCTAGTATGTTTTTTCTCGCACTTCATATATGTGTCTGTTTCAAATGTTTGCTGTTTCATATGTCTTTGCTGTTTCAAATGACTATCTTTTCCATTTTTAGTATTTTCTCAGTTACTTTTACGTATTTCTTCTAATGATACTGTACACCAAATTGCAAGATAATAATACTTTGAAATGAACATCGACAGATGGCTTGATGCTTCTATTGCAAGATCTAGCTAGTGCCTACCAAACACTCTCCCAGTACAAGTGTGCACAGGCTATTGATATATTTGAGAACCTGCCAGGACAGCACATGAACACTGGCTGGGTCCTCTGTCAGATTGGTCGCGCTTATTTTGAACTGTGTGATTACAAGAAGGTACTTTTAAAAATTCTAACGAGTTGTTGCTTCTTTAAGTTATGAACTTTTTGTTTGGTTCTTTTATGCGCTGTACATTCCATTCTTATTTACGTCCTCCTTAAAATAAATTTTTTTTAGAGCAATTAAGTTTTGTGGCTATGCTTGCTTTTTATTTCTTGGTGGAACTTCAGATGTTGTTAAACATTGAAACAGGCTGAAAAGGTGTATGCCAAAGTCCGAGAGCTGGAGCCGTATCGCATGGAAGGCATGGAGATATACAGCACTGTACTCTGGCACCTGCAGCTTGAAGTTGATCTCAGCGCTCTGGCTCAGGATCTCACTGACATCGACAAGTTGTCTCCTGAGGTTTGCTCCTTGCAATTGTTTCCATTGTGCTCTTCAAGTTTCATAGCTCTCTCTTATTTTATTTCCCTTATTTTGTCTTTGCCTTTTTATTCCATCAAAATAAAATGATAAAGGCTCTCTTAATTGTGAATTTTTTAGTGTTGAGTATTTGAAATTTTCCATCAACTCACAAATGTTTGCAACTGAACACCATGATAAACATGCAGGCTTGGTGTTCCACAGGCAATTGTTTCAGTCTTCAGAAGGAGCATGATGTTGCCATAAAATTCTTCCAACGAGCCATGCAAGTTGACCCAAACTTCACATATGCATACACACTGCTTGGACATGAGTATGCATTAATTGAGGAACTCGATAAGGCCATGGCTGCATTCGATAACGCCATCAGGATCAATCCCCGACACTATAATGCATGGTTGGTTGGTTGTTTTGTTTGGTGGTTGTTTGGTTGATTTGTTGTTTGATCGATTGAGTGTTTGGGTTAGCTGTTTAACTGTAAAATTTTTGCTGTGTGAGCATTCATGCTCTTACTAACATCAACATGATTGACACCTGCACTGCACATACAAACAAACACTCATACAAACAAGGTATGGAATTGGCATGGTCTACTACAAGCAAGAAAAATTTTCACTGGCTGGCCTGTACTTTGAGAAAGCCCTTGCCATCAATCCAAGAAGTTCAGCTCTGTTGTGTCATGTTGGAGTGGTTAGTTTGCAGTTGTAATTGAAGGATTGATTTATTGACTGATTGGTTGGTTGATTGGTGGTAAGAGATTGATAATAATTGTCTGATGCTTTTTGATATATTGTTCTTGTGGTTTATTTATTGCTTTGTCTTCGTTGATTAATAATTAAATTTTGCATGCATTTTTGTTTCTTTTCTTTATTGGTTAATTTTTCAATTGTTTGTTCGAATTATGGTACCAACAATTAAATTATTATTCAACTCACTAATAAACATAACAAGCCATTATCATAATTTATTCTCTCAGCTACCAATCGAACGCCATCTAATTAAACCAACGAACCAATGACATTTCATCAGGTCCAGCATGCTTTGAAGAAATCGAATGCAGCTTTGAGAACATTGGACTATGCCATCAGTATCGAGCCTAAGAATCCACTCTGCAAATTCCACAAGGCATCTGTACTCTTTGCCAACGAAAGACATGCTGTGTGTCCTTTTGTTACTCCCATCGACATCATTCTTATCCTCATCGTCATTATCATCACCTCATCACTGTCATCAATGAAATTAACTTCAAAAATTTTATTTTACGTTCATTTAATTATTTATTTATTCTTAGGAGGCCCTGAAAGAATTAGACGAACTGAAACAGATTGTGCCGAAAGAATCATTAGTTTATTTTCTTATTGGAAAGGTGATGGTGATGATTTGATGATAATGATATAGTTAATGATAAAGTTGATGATGACAGTTATGACAATGATAATTATTTTTGTTGTTATTAAAAAAATTATAGTTTGTTTTTCATAGAAAGTTGTCTTAAATAATTTTTTAATTTTTTTGTTTACAAAATTTTCCATTAATGAAAAAATGATTGTGATTTTTCATAACTTCAAGGACATTTAAAAAAATTTTTTTTTTAAATTATAAAATATAATGTATTATAATTATTGAATTATATATTTATTTACCATAGATACACAGAAAAATGGGCAATATGCATTTGGCCCTCATAAACTTTTCCTGGGCCATGGACCTCGACCCCAAGGGCACTAACAATCACATTAAGGTTAACCCTTACTACCTACCTACCTACCTTCCTACCTGCTTTTTTTACAATTCTCTCTTAGTATTTCTTAGTAGTTATGGACAATGCACATTGCATGCACAGCACTGCATTGCATACACGTGAATCAATGCATCACCACACATTGCCTGTGACAGGCGAGAATCCATTTGCATTTGAACGCAGTTACTGCCACAGCCGAGCCAGACACCTTATCCATACTGCTAATAATGTGGCAATCACGCACGCTATACTACAACTATTAATCTCATTACTACTTGTACTACAACAACCATCGCTACTACTGCTGCTACCGATACTATTGTTACAATTATTATTTTCGCTGCTATTGTTATTATTATTATTACTGCTAATAGTTATTACTATTAGTAATGTTGCAATCACACTTTACATCTCTCTATTTTAAGGAGACGATAAATAAGCGCTACATGATGGATGAGGAAGATTCTAGAACAAGTCCAACGACACCAAACGACATGGATGACTCGGTTATGCAGAGATCGCTCGATGCTGCTATGCCTCGAATTAATGATTACGAAAGTGATGAATATTAAAATGTCTGTTGTTGGCTGGCTGGCTGATTATTTGATTGACTGGCTGATATTTTGATTGATATTTGATTTACTTGTTTGATTGATTGACTGGCTTGTTTATTGAATGATTGATGTTGACATACTACAATTCAATGATTACAAACGGGATGAATATTAGTAAGTGTGATCCGTTACCTGTCTGTATAGTTTGGTTTTCAGTACTTATTGATTAGTTTATTAATGATGATTAAAGATTTAATGATTGATTGATTGCTTGATTGATTAACTGACTGATTGATTTTCTGTTAAACTGCTTTCAATTACATTACATGCGAGGTTATTTCAATGAAAACATAAATTAAAACATTCATTTACATCAAAATTGGTACATGAAAATGTTGTTGAAATTGAATCATTCTCAATTTTTTGTAATATCTCTGCCGAAATTTGATTTTAGCAATTTTTCCTCATTAATGATTGATGCAAAATACATTTGCCTGGTTATGAAAGTATGTAACTCAGTCGGTAGTTTTGTTGTACTGTGCATTTGCTCATCCCCCCGAAATGTCAGTAAATGAATAGCTAGATAAGGAAAGTTAAGAAGAAAGAGGCAATGTATAAGAGTGAACTGTGGAGGGAAAGTTATTTCTTCATAATTTAGAAGTTTGGCGAAATAATTTATTATTTTAGAATTAGAATTATTAATTCATTGTACAAAGAGTATTATTATCTTGTAATATAATTTAGTTTTTCCCTTGTTATTTTATTATAAATCAGAGAAAGAATTGACCATCTTCTTTCTACTCGTGTATACATGTTTTTGTTTGGCGATGCATTGCGTGTATGTATGTATGTATGTACGTATGCATGCATGCATATAACCTTAATAAACACTTAACTATTGTGATATAAAATGACTTAGTCAATAGAAAACAAACAACGTGCATGTGTCTGTAGAAGCATTGAATGTCGTTAATTTTCATTGCGGGAGTCACTTTCATTTTTTGTTTCACTTTTTGTATTATATAAACTTTGTTTGCTATGTTTTATTGCACAATACATATTGTATGTAATGTATACGTGGATGGCTCGACTTATTAGCTTTTTTCTGTTAACCTAAAATGTGTCTAAAAGTCAATTTAATTGAAATTCTTGCCTTGCAGAGACGAAAAATATCGGAAATTACAAATAATTTTGTTACGGGAGTGCTTTGTAGTTGAATTGATAAGAGCCGAGCTAACTAACTGCGCTGTCGTTGCTTCATCATCTCTAACCACAGTTGTAGATATTCTTGAAAGGATAAGACTTAGCTATAATATAATTATTAATCTTCTTAACTAATACTCAGACGTACCAACACGCAACGCATGTGAATATGCGTGAATCCACGCATCGCAGGCATTGCACGTGTGGGGATCTTTTTGTATTTAGTAGTAAGTACGAACCATTCATGATGAACTTTTCGGATCGAACTAGCCAGGACGAAAAACTGAATCAAGAATTTTAATTATGATATTACGTGAAGAATTTACGTCAGGTAAACTTGCTTTTTTCTTAAGATACGATTAAAACTTTTGAAAAATAAAATGATTTTTTTTTCGTGGAATATAAAGCGAGATCGTTTGATGATTTTGAAATTAACCTAGTGATGTATGCACGTGTCAGTACGTGAGGTCCACGCTCGAGTGAATCCGTGTAGAAGTCTGCCACACAACGAACATCTGACCATCCGGCCGATTCCAATTTAACATGTCAATCGGCACGCAATCGATCTGTAAGAGTTTTCATTCAATTTATCTCACGTCCGCTCACTTTTGCATTTGCAGGATGAATACGTGTACAGTGAGTAACAAGACAGCTATTCGCATGGAAATTTATCCATTACGTTCCTTCTTTTCCACTTTTCTCCCTCATAAATATGCAATCCAATTAATTTCTTCGCGTATAACGCGACCTCTTCAGATTTCCCATCATAAATTCAGTCGCCAACTTGTTTTTATGAGATAATTTACTTCCTCGCGAGTCAACCCACAGAAATGGCTCTCAATCCGATGAGTCCGTCGCCTCGATAAAGTGCTTTATCTCATCTGATCTCGTATAAATCTTAATACAAATTGCAGGTCACAATGTATTGATTTGAAAAAGAGGATGTAGCATGAAAAAAAAGTATGCCGAATGTGTATATTTCGCTCGCCACTCTCTTATTCTACGTCTTAATTTTCCAAGTTACTTTCGGTCTGAATGAATAAATAAATATTTGCGACATTAAAAGTTAAATATGAAACTAACAAGACGCTTTTTTGTTTAAAATTGGTTATATTTGTATTACTTATTACTTTAGTGTAACATATCTGACGGCGATTTTTCATCAAAATTGTCACAATCAGTCAAGACAATGAATAAATTTAAAGTGAACAAAATTCGACAATTACTAAATTACTTTATGAACCTAAAACCAATTAAGAAGACTGTTTAATTTATATGAATGATTTCATCAAAAAATATGAAAATTAATTAATCCATCTTTGAAATTGCCTGAATAAAATACTTTGTGAAACGAATAAGAAAAAAATTAATTATAAAACAAACAATTTAAAATAAAACGTACACGCGCGTGTGTGTGTGTGTGTGTCCACAATTTAATTAGATAATCGGAGGTAAGCATCAGCGTCTGTCTTGAACAAGAACCGTAGTAACTATAGTGGTATGATGATGATGATAATTAAACCATTCTGAAAGAAAAAGAAAAGGGAAAGAAAGAAAGAAAGAAGGAAAGAAAGGAAGAAAGAAGGAAAGAAAGGAAGAATGAAAGAAAGCAGAGAAAATGAATGAAAAGTAATTAAAAAGATTTTTAAAGTGGCGAAAAATAGAAAAGAAGACATAAGATGATAAGGCATAAAGTAATTTATTTTATAAAATGAGAAAATTATTACTCAGTTGCAGAAATGATCTAAAGTTAAATGTATTTTTAATGTGTGGTGAAATTTATAATGTGAATAATGTTGAATGTTTAATAATGTGAACAAATAAACCTAATAACTAAGTTTAAAACGAACCAATATGTGAATAATTAAACATATAGACGATTAAACAAATAAAAAATATAAAAGAATAAACATTTACAGACAATCACAAACACATACATATAAACACATATACAAACAAAAGCATGTACACATTGACGAATAAATAAATAAATAGATTTATTTGCTTATTTATTTTACTTGACACGAACAATTTTATGTATTTTTAAGACTTTTATATCCGATAAATGTTATTCAATAAAATAAAAACATATGAGTGAGAATTATTATATTACTGACTGATTAAATTTGAAACTTTTGAAGTTTCAATTATAGTTAAGAGTTTTGGCGATAATTAGAAACTTCTGATATTTTCTGGATTGAAAAGACTAAATAAATTTATAAAGAAAGTTCCATTTTTTTAAAGATACCGTTTTAATTAGAAAATTAAATTGATAAACTCTAAAATGATTTTGCGATTCAAGTGCTTACTTCATGAATCTCGAGTAGTACAAAGTTACGGTTAGTCTGTAACAGTGATGAAAAATATTTCTTAAAAATTTTTTTTCAAATTTAAAACTCAAATATTGGATGGTATTATCAAACAAAAACCAAATTAATGTCAGTATTCCAATGAATTTGACTGAAAAAATAAATCCTTTGTTGGGTGAGCTGATGCGAAAAAGCATACCTAGCAAGAAAATGACTGGTAAAAGAGGCATGTTATTTTTTGGAAAAACAACAAAAAAAATTTTTTACAAAAAAAAAATCAAAATCCATTTAGATAAATAAATAAATAATAATAATATAACTAATAATAATATGTATATGTAATAACAAGTAGCAATTAAAGTACCACATTTAATAATGTACATACACACAATAAACTGTTTAATGACTCGAATTGTGATGTAGACACGAGCTCATGAGCACGCGGTGACAATATGAATGAAGCAACAAACATTGCCAATAAAATTTTTCAAAAGAAGCGTTCAAATTAATTTTTTTGTTGTTTTTATTTAAATTTCAAGAAATAAAACAAAGTTTTTGTATTATAATGTTATTTACATGAAATGGTATACAATGTACGTTTATACGTTCATATTGGAATAAGTTAGCAATTACACACAGACATGCAGACGCAAAGACACACACACAAGCACACATGCACGCACGCGCACACACAAACGCACATATACATAATTTATTGAAACCCTAAGCCAGATATATAATATAACTTATAAAAATTAAGTTTTATCTCATGCGTGTCACCAGCACCATTCGAAATTGCACTTGTCAGCTGACCAGTTATACATTGTTGTGCGTCTGTGGTGTTTGTTATTCATTGTGTGTGTGTGTCGTGTGTGCGTGTGCACGTTGTGTGTGTATGTGTATGTGTCCAGACCAGAAACTTCTGCACATATAGTATTATAATTAGGGTATAATAAAACATATAATATCATGATGTATGATGAATCATTAAAGCGATTGTCACGTTACAAAGCATTCAATCAAAAAATAAACCAACAATCGTCCTTCTCATGAACGCATGCGGATATTAATTTATATATTCAGTTACTTATTTACATAAAGTAACAAGAAAAATTGAAGAGGGAAAGATTCGAGGAAAAACGAAAAAAATGATGAGATGAGAGAGAAAAAGAGAGAAAGCAATTGAGGTATAGAAGAGGCGGAACTTCTCTTACAGATGAAATTCTCACCTATAACGATCGATTTGATGTTTAATACTTTTTCTACTTTTTACGGCATGAACGGATTCAGCGCTGGATTCATATTCATCGTTGTCGTCGTAGGAGTCGTTGTTTTTGTTGCTTGCTGCAGGTAACGTTCGTGCAGATTCGTAGCGCTCTTCGCTGGAAAGATGATTCGCTTGGTCGACCGGTGGCTCGTGAGGTATGGAGATGACATCCGTTTGAAGTGTCGGTTCCATTTTTGATCGAGTTTGGCTGGAATCAACAAAGTCGACAATCGGATGTTTACTGTTTCCGTCGTTGTCCATGAAAACATTTTCTCTGGATGAAACTTCGTTCAATTTTTGTTGCGATAGAGCGTAGTTCAGTCGGGCAAGAAATAAATGTTTGGCGAAGTCGTAGAGTTGCACGTCCAAATGGTTCAGCTGCATGATTCTGCGCCTCTCGTCTTGCGATATGCTCGATTCTTTTGCGTGCGTGTGCTCGTATTGAGTGAAGTTCTTTGTAAACTTTATTCCAAATGTAAACTCGAACAAGAAACTGTAATTTTTGAAAAATTAAATTAAACAATAGAAAATGTAAAACCTTTGTTTTACTGTTTTTTAATTTTAAAAAATTGTTCACATTCTTTAAATACTTATATGAATTAATCAATACAATAGTACAATACAATCGATGTATTTCAAAAATTGGAATCAATGAAAATAACCCTAGCTCCGCCTGAAACTCAGTGAGTCCAAAAAATTCCATGGACATAAGGTTTCTTTTGGCACTTTCCAGCATCAAACGATTCCTCTTCTCTTCTGACATGAGCGATTTGTCGTAACATCCAACTAATGTCAAGTCGGCCAACATGCGGGTCTGCCTGTTGTGTGCGAGGTTGTGCTGGCAGGCCAGGAAGTCATCGAACGTCACATTGATCCAGTTGGGACCTTCCGGATGGATGAAACCATTAACAGTTTGTTGTTGTCGGTAGTGGTGGTGGTAGTCACATGATTTGCAATAAAATAATTTATGCGCATTTGAACAGTTTAAACCCATAAAATATCCAAAAACTTATTAACCCTATTAAATTTATTTCAAACGCTGACCATAGCAATACAATGATAAATTAACAGAAAATGGTAGCATAATCAATTTAACGTTAAAATCACGATGTGATAGAAATGTGATTCCTAAATGAGCGATAATAAAAAAATGAAGACATGGTGTGCCAGCTATATCCCCGGTGAAGAGAATTAAATAAAAAAATTGCTGGCACAGAAATAGAATGATTAAAGATTACAATTGCATACATGCATAAGAAGTATGAGGCAGCAACATCTCATCAATCAACCATCTTTCTGTCAATTTGCATTTACACTGACGGCCACATCAATACCTCCTTATTCTGCTCTTGTGCATGTTTGTGTGAATCACTGCGTGTGCTTGTGCGTGCATGTTTGCGTGAATTGTTACACATGCATTTTTGTATGAACCTTAACGCTTGCATGTTTGCATGAATTGGTAAGCATGCATGTTTGTATGAATTGGTATGCGTGTACGCTTGTATGAATTAGTGTGGCTGCATGTTTGTATAAATTAGTATGGCTGCATGTATGTATGAATTGGTATGCGTGTATGTTTTTATAAATTAGTATGTAAGCTTCCTATCAATCCTTCCTTACATATTAATAGAATATATGTGGAAATGGCGTGTATGGCTAGAGGGGAGCGGTGGGTGGGACTGAATGTTTTCGCTTCTTTCACTTTTTCATAAAATTTTTTTCATCATTCAGTCAGTCATGTTCGGGCATACTTCCAAAAATTTCAAAATAAAATTTTTGAATTTCGGTTGCGACGATGTTTGATTCAAGACGATCAGCAGCAACAGTGAAGATATAAACTCGCATTCTAACTAGTCGAATGTCATCAACGAAAAATTAAACTTTAAATTAGAAACAAAGTTACAAAAAAAGATAAAAATGAGCAGAGAAATGTTCGGAAGAGTTCCAAATAGGTCATTAATCATAGAATAGGAAATAAAAAAAAACGTGCCGGGTTATCAATTAATGTTTGAGTTAACAAAGAAAAATTATCTCGATGTCGACGTGGAACACACAATTCATCATCCTTAAACTGCATTTAAGTAGATGAAGTACATAGGGCTGAATGGTAGGTTAGCCATTGCGCTCTGCCCCACTGGCTGGTTGGTCGGTCGGATGGCTGGTAGAGTGGGAGGTGTGCGTGCGTGTTAATGACGTCAAGTATAATTATACGAAAGCCACATTGATTGCCTGGTTGATATTAACGAGAAAAATATGCACATTGTTTGTATAATATACAATATATCGTTGGGGAAAGAGAAAGAAAGAGAGAGAGAGAGAGAGAGGGGGGGGGGACAGAGAGAAAGAGAAGAAAGAAAAAGTAAAAGAAAGAGAGAGAAATGAAGGAGATAGAAAAAGATAGGAAGAAGAGAAAGATTACGTAATGCATGTATGTAAGTAGAGAAAGAAATAATATCTTGTTAATTAATAATAATAATAATAATAATATCCTGTTAATTAATATCCTGTTAATAATATCCTGTTAATTAATATCCTGTTAATTAATATCCTGTTAATTAGAATCATGTTAATAATATCCTGTTAATTAAAATGATTAAATTTATAGCTAACCCCAGGATTGACAGAACTAACAATACTAATATAATTAAGCAAGCCATTAATGAATTTAAATAAAATAACATCCAGGAACTTTTGTTGGTATCCACCATATAAATGGAATAATCTGCCACAATATTTAAGATTAATTAATAATCTAAGAGAACTTAAAAAGAAGTTGAGAACATTTTTAAATTGTTTAAGTTAAATGTATTAATGTATTATTTTTAATTTTATTCATTTTTTAAGTTTAAATGTATGAATGTTTTATTTCTAAGTTTATTCATGAAAATTTAAGAACATTGAAGAATTTAAAAGACATTTATTTCACTCCTTTATGTTATTGTGTCATTTTTTGGGTTATTTACTATGTTATTGCTTGTTTTATGGGAGTCAACCCTAGATAAGCATTTATTGCTAGGCTGGCTCTTTCACTTTATTTTTTGTAAATAAATGGAATTAAAAAAAATAAAAAAAAACATAAAACTTAAGTAATTTCAAATATTATAGATATAATCAGATAATGTAAATGCAAATATGTAGGAACAGTAAAAGAGTAAAAGAATAAAGAAATGAATGCATGCATGCATGCATGTATATAGAGAGATATGCGTGAAGAAAAGATTGAGACTTAATTGATTTTTTAATGTAGCATGTATATGCAAATAAATTTAAATATTTCCAATATCAACGGAGATGACATGTTGTGCATATCATACCGATGAAATCTGGTTGAAAGAAGGAAATAAGAATATAGATTATATACGTAAACCACAATATAGATGGATAGATAGAAGGATATATAGATAGATAGAGACAAACATACAGACAGACAGATAGATAGATACATATATTAAGTGCATTAATGGATAACTTATTGATGAGTAATTATTTAAAAATATACATGCCAATTTTTTAATATTTTTGAGAAATTGTAAAAGTTTACTGGATGGCGAAATTAAAATCATCCGTATCGATTTTTATTACATTTTTATTCAATAAAAAGGGCTTCAAAAAAATTTTTATTGGGTCACAATTGCTCTAGGTAGGCCACTGGATGCGTTAGCAGTAGCGACTGCAGCAGCAGTAATTTTTAAAATACTGAAATTAGTAGTTATAGAAAAATAGTAACGAGATGGATGATGACAATCAAACAGATGACACTGACGATCAGTCAATCAAACCGTCATAACAGAGTCATCATTCAGTTGAGCAGACCTCACTGAAACTCCGATGTCATGTCGTGTCATGTTATGCTATGCTATGTCATGTAATATGTTAGGCCGTGACATTACAAATGATAAACAAGAACATGAGTTGGTGGGTGCTATCCGTTGCAAGGAACAACAAAATAAGATTTTAAATGTTCATCTAAACTTTTGTAAAAAAAGTTAGCACACACACGTGCGCACACACACACGCCACACAAACACACCCATACGCTATTTTTTTAAATACTTTATATACAAATTATAGACACCAGACATTATTTATTTATTGTGTAAGCTATTTTGAATGTAAGAACCCTTATAAACGTAAAAATAAGTAAATTGATAAACAAATGAAAATGTAAATAATTGTGAAATGATAAAAACATGAAATTATGTACAAAAAGTCGAGTTTGTGTAAAAAAAACAAGAGTGTTTATAAGCACTTACAGAAGAATCAAGATAAACAGATACACAGACACAAACAAACACACACACCACACGCAATTTCGAAAATACACAACAAACAATAACTACAAAAATACGTACAAACAAAACAAACACAAATAACCAACCAAACAAACAAACAAAGATATAGAGAAAGAAATGCGGACCAGAGTACGTACAAACAAAACAGACACAACCAACCAACCAATCAAATAACCAACCAACCAACCAACCAACCAACCAACCAAACAAACAAACAAACAAACAAACAAACAAACAAACAAACAAACAAACAAACAAACAAACAAACAAATAGAGAAAGAAATACAGACCAGAATAGCACAGTGGAACTTCAGACCTGGTAGCCCTCCTACCGTTACACATGAGTTTGACAGCACTCCACGTACTACCTCTACGCACGTGCTTCCATTCGCTCAAGTACCTCTGCACTGGATCTCGGAGGATTGTAAAATAGTGGTAGCTGTTTCAAAAATTATTTATTTTTAATTAAAATTATTAATTTTAAATATTAATCAGTATTAAATCACTTAAAAGATTAACATCATTAAATATGAGTTTGTGTATGTGCGGCGTGTATATGTGTGTGTGTGTATCAGTGTAAAGCCAGATTAACCAAACCACATTACGTTGTTCCGATCCTATTTGGAACAATTGCATATAATTCCCTTGCAAAAACAATTCTACATTCACTCGCCCATTCAAATTCCTTGAATGATAATGAACATCAGAACGACGATGAAGACGACACATTGCATTCAGCCATAGTTTTCACTTTTATTAAACAAATATTACTTATATCTATAAATGCCGGCAAATCATTATCATCAACTTTATCATCATCATCGTCGTCCTCTTTGTCATCTTCATCATCATCGTCGTAGTCATCATCGTCATCATCATCAACATCGTCGTCATCGTCATCATCATCATCGTAAGCGGTATCGTCATCATCTCTAATATTTTTTCCAATTCCATTTCCCAATTGGCATCTATCCCTTTCATCATCATCATCATCACCATCACCAACATCGTCGTCGTCATCATCATCATCGTCGCCATCATCATCATCCTCATCATAACCATCATCACCACCATTCTTAACCATCATCATCATCACCACCACTATCATCATCACAATCATCACCATCTTAATCATCATCAACATCCATCGTCTTATTTCATCACATTGATGTGTATCAAGGGAGTCCCGCAATTTTATAAACGCGCGCTAAAAAACAGAAATAAAAATAAATAAATAAATAAATAATAACAATAAACAAAACGAAAATAAAGCCAAAACAAAAGCTGAATTTCTTCAATTTCTCTTATCATCTCTGAAAAGTATTGCAGAGAAGAACTTTCAAATTTAAATTCAGGCAAAAATGAGAAATAAAAATAATTAAATAGCACCATCTACAGATTCTCATTCAACTATAACTTCCCAGCAGAGAAAGATTTTATTTATTATTATCTAATTGTAATAATAATATAATTATGTAAATAATAATAAATTATTATTATGATTATTAATAAATGTATTAATAATAAACCGAGAAACAGAAGAACACAGGTACATACATTCGTAAAAATAAAGCACAGCAATTAAGATGACTGCTGACGGGCTTATTAACACACGCAGTTAAGAAGAAATATACAAACACATACACACATATACACACACGTATAAT